CGCACATAAGGTGCGAATAAGTGCAGACGTCAATAACTTTAGTTTTAGCAAAATCTGCTACCGCAACAAACACCTTGCTCTATCTGTGGGCATTGCAGCTTCGCATTAAAATACTGTTGGGTAAGGCGAAATATGCTCTGGTTAAACATATCCAAATTTTGCGCGATTTGGTCTACTAAGAAAAAGTTATGAACGAAAAAGCTTCAAAGCATTTCACCGAAGACTTTTGAGCGCTACTGTATATGGCTGTTTTCATAGTCTGCCGGCCGATGTAGTGCTAGGAGGGGGGAGGGAGGCAGACGGGACCTCTCGACGCGGTCGCGTCGCGCCCATACTCTTTCGAAGGGCTGAAAACAAAGTAAACAAGATTAAAGAATTTGCCTTTGCCCTTTGAGGGGGCTTGGGAGCGACGCCCAGAATTGCTGTAATGATCAATTGCTTTTTTGACGGATAAAGCAATTTATTCTTGGCTCTTATGGCACGATCTGTAGAACAACATCGATGAAGAGGTCTCTTAATCAAGTATGGCGCCGTAATTAGATTTCCAGCGTAGTGAATTTCAGACACTTTTCCATTACTTCATTATAAATACTGGAGGGCACAGGGCCGCAACAGGATCCGGACGGGTGAATTTTTTATTGTTGGCTTATAACGGAACTATTTCTTTAGCCTGCTTCGCAGCAGCAAACCACATATCCCGTAAAATTACCAAATTTCTTCATACGCGCGTGTCATACGTGGCGCTTACATGATAATCTCCCCTCTGCAATGATATGTGCTCAGAAAGTCGGTGCTGTTGTCCTCTCAGATCAAAATCAAACTACTTCGGATCAACGTCCTAGAAGAGCGAGAAGCTTGACGGGTTGATGACAATTTGTATTCGTGGTTCCAGATATTGAGCTTGTAAAATCAAATAGAAAACATAGCAGAAGTTCCAAGATAGAGCCCAACAGCCATCCACAAGAAAAAAAAACCAAAAATAAAGCGAAAGGAAGAAATGGTGCGATTCTGAGATTAGAATTCAGCGTCGTAAGTCACATGTATCGGTAACGATGTGCATATTGTTGATGCTCATATCAATCCTCTTTGTTACATAGTAAGCTATCGTCTCCCGGTTGTCAGGGACAAAGTATTGTATATTATGATATGTTTACAAGTACTTCACACAACATGTTTTCAGTTCACACAAGCACTGTAGATAGAAGCAATCAAACCTTTTGCTCAGTTGATAATCCTGCGCAACTCACGCCTGATCTTTTGGGCTCCTTTATTTCGAATTCGCCATAGTTGTGCATGGGTTGGAATTTTACCTAAAGAGGGAGTTATATTCCATTTCCGACTTTCGATCAATCTCGGCATATTAAAACAAATTCCTCGATAGTTGTATCAGCCTTGTTAATAATACTTTATACACACGGCTTACGTTTCGGCCGAGTCGCCTTCGTCGGAGCCTGTAAGTCGAAAATATATTTGTGATCCGCTGGTTACCATTTCAATTTACAAGAAGCGCATACTAAAAGGAAGCAAAACGGGAGCGATGAGCCCCCCCCCCCC